CGTGCCTAACGCTATATCTAGACTGGTGTCAGGAAAACCAACTTCCAGGGGTTCCTTACGAACTTCTGTTCTTCATTTAGAGTTTTAGGAAGCCATCCTTTGACGTTGTGAGCCAATCTAAATGATTGTGTGTCGATTAAGTGACATAGAGCTCAAATTAAAGTTGCTCTATGCCCCCGACTCCTCATACTACAATATTAAGATACAGTAAGACTCTGCTTAACACTGATTCGATATAACACTGTCTGCTCAAAGCCTTAAAAAAAGCTTAAAATTTACACTGATTTAAATTATCGCGGAATTTTATTGATTCATATATAAATACGATTATTTGCGAACACAAACCAATCAGCAAAAGGTGGCAAAAAGGTGTACAGGTAACCCCCGTATAACACGGGGATTACGTTCCAAAAAATTACCCTGTTATGCAAATCTGTGTTATACGAAACAAAGAACTAGAGCGAAAAGGGGGGTTAGGTTCCAAAAATTAAAAAACATGCTGTTAAATCCTTATTTAAATTGAATTTATTATTCCTTTTTTCCATAGGTAAAATACTTATTTATTATTTAAGTAAATATTTTATCAGAGGATTATTCATCCTATATGATGATCTCAGCATGGAGCACCATCAACTGGTAACAGTTTTTGGGTGTGTTCGTTAATAGTGGTCGCTCTGCGATGGGAGTGCGCTGCTGTTTGTAGGCATTTAGGAACGAAAGTGAAAGAAAGATGGCGGCACCCGCATTATCGATAGTATTGTGATGGAGGAAGCTATAATTCTAAAATGAGCTTTTAGAGGCAAAAGAAGGGTCCCAATTGTAAAATTTAATCATTAAATAGATTATTGTTGAAAGAGTATTCAAAGTAGCCATGAAAACAATTAGAATGCTCGTGCAGAGTTATGCAGAAGTATAAAAGAACACACCCTTTATTATACAGTAGATCCCCCTATAAGACTGGTTCCTATAATTACAATTCCTATAAGACGGCGAAAAATTGTGGGCGTATCCATACACAAAAGTAAAAAAACTCCTATAATTACGTAAAACGTCATCGGGCAGCCGAACTACTTTCCCGCCGTCCGTAGCGCCACGCTAGACATTTAGGCGGGTAAATTGAGTTTAGTTTCGTCTGTACATATAATTATATATAAATTAGGTACTGTACATATAATTATATATTAATTATATATAAATTAGGTACTGTATATATAATTATATATTAACTTAATTTATTGTAACTTTATTATAATTATATATATATTTTCCGCCGCTGGCGCCACGCTACGGAGAGTTTAGGCGAACTATCGTCTGTACAGTATGTAAATTAGGTACCGTAAGTCTAATACAGTACTGTAATTTTATACATTTCTTGTGAAAGAAACATTTCTTATTCAACGGCGATAAAAATTATTTATATTAATGATGTCTCCAAAGTTCAGCGAAGTTTTCGCAGAAAAATAACATCAGAAATTGCAGCCGCAGTTTGCTGAGCTGTTCCGCGACGAAAACAAGCTTGAGCAACGGCAATGTCGAATGGTGCACACTCGGTAAGTAATCCTACAATTTTTTGTTTATAGCGTAGTTTATACAGATTATTTCCAAAAAAAATATACGTATTTTGGAAATGTCGAGTCAGATTAGTCTAGAATTGATTAATTTTATGGAAGAAAACCTTTCAAACAGACGTAGTCCGTAAACTTCACACGTGTCGGGCTGTGATTCCTACGAAATTGATTCATAAAGAACGGAACGTATCTACCGTCTTATAGGGGGATCTACTGTATTTCATATTGTACGAGGGTTTTATAATTTCCGAACCGTGTTAGAGTGAACCCGTGCTATAAAACCACCGTGTTATACGGGGGATGTTCCCAATTCTCGAACTGTGTTAGAGTGAATCCATGCTATAGAAGTGCTGTGTTATACAGGGGTTACCTGTACTTTCTTTAAATCTATGTTTGTTTGGTGCAATTTTGGAAAAAATATAACATCATGGATGCCATAGGCAATATTGATTTTGCTTGGCAAAAATTAACTGATAAATGCACAAAGTGTGGGAGAAGTTATAGCTGAAGGTATCCAAGAATTCTCAACAAGAAGAGCCTATCGCTGTATCGTTAGGATGATTAAACTCAACCTAATCAATATAGCAGGACTAGGAGATGTAGATAAACAGGATATTGAGGAGTTACCGGAGGTTTCTGGTGAGAGTTTTATCAATGACGACATTCAAGAACTGGCAGAACAAGAAATCCATGTAGAACTGGAAAATAATGATTCTGAAAACGAAGAACCCAAAATATTTCTCTACAGATTTCCTTAGTAAAAGTTTGGTAATGATAACTGAAATCATCAAATGATCTAGATTTTGAAAGGAGTGCAAAAGCAAAATGAGGCGTTTTGGATGCAATCTTCTGCTACCGACATTTGCTGAAAGTGACAAATGAAACTGCACAACCTTATTGCAAAAAAAAAAAAAAAAAAAAGTTCAGAAAAGTCAGGACCATCGTCACAAAAATGAACTATTAATATAGAAAAAATTAACTAATTAATATATTATTATACATTTCTGTGTGCATATGTTTATGTGTTATTTAATATATAATTATACAATAATATATACAAAAATACAGTAGAGCGTCATTTATCCGAATCAATTGGGGACTGGGGTGGTTCGGATAACTTATTTTTCGGATAACGAATCATGTACGAAAAAATATATTAATTTATCCCGTGTTGAAATTTTTCTCCATTGCGTGTTGCTTCGCGTTGAATTTTCGTCGATGTTAAGCCTAACGAAGACTATTGTATCGTTAAAAATTATTTTTTTATTTTGTACAAACAAAATAAATATATTGAAAAATATAAAAACAATAAAAAATTATACTTCAGATGTTAATTTAATATCAAAAACGTAAAATATTTGAGTAGCCCAAGAAATAGCCCAAGATTGTAGCGCCACAGCACTAGCGAAAATTTAAATTTGCCTACTGGAATGCTTTCGGATAACGGACGTTTCGGATAACCAGCTTTCGGATAAACGACGCTCTACTGTATTATACAAACATAACTTAAAATTAAAGTAAATTTTTTTATGTTTGGTCACATGTTCCCCTATTCCTATTTACTCTATGTTAAAATGACCTCGTTTAATGCTGTTTCGTTTAGCGCTTTGTTGTCTAGGAATGCATCCCCAGTGTTAAGTGGGGTCTTACTGTATTTATAAACTATCTTAATTTTATTCTAAGATAAGTTCTAATGTTTTCAAATCATCATCCAAAACAAACTATAAAATTATAATGTTACTAGAGGGCTTGCCCACAGGTTCTGCCTACTTGTTAAAAAAATTTTGTGATGATTCATCAATTCTCTGTGCCACTGTGTGTGTTACAATGATTTTAAGCTAAGTATTTTATACATTTAATTATAATAAGTAACTTAATATATATAAATAGAAAAAATTCACTTTTATGATAAAGTGATTTTTTTAATGATAAAATTCACTATCATAAAATTTTGAATATTAATTAATTAATTATTTTATATATTTTAAAAATAAGTTTAAATTTATATTTCTCATTTGATAGAATAAAATCTTTGCTTGGACTTTTCTAGTACATCCAATTGCAATGCCAGAAGATCTCAAGTCATTTTTTGACAGGCTTTAGCATAAACATGCAACTTGGTTGTGTGTATGAACAAAGTTCAACACACAACCAAGCCTGAAGCGAGACTCAAACCCACAACTCCCAATTACTGTGCAGATGCGTTGCCAGTTACACTACCAAAACCTTCAGTCTGATCTCCTCTTCCAATATATATAAGTTCAAGATATAACCATCCAAATATATACTGGAAGAGAAAATCGGACTGAAGGTCCAGATAGCGTAACTAGTAACATGTCTGCATGGTTAGTGGGAGTTGCGGGTTTGAGTCCCACTTCGGGTTGATTTTCTTTCCTTCCAGTTTAATCTAAATTACTTAATTAAATATTATAATTATTAATTTTGATACAAGATGGCACCTAATGCCTGACTCTAGTGCCAAATTCATTTCTAATTTATAATCATTATATCCAAATTTAGCCTGATCATTTATGGCAGTTGTGGGTGCATATTTGCTTAATATATTGGGTTTCGGTTGTGTATATTTGAATGTAACAGTATTCTAAAAATGTATTCATTCCATTGCAATTTAAAAGAGTTTCTGCTGAAGATGTTCTTATAAAAGAACATCTTCAGCACATTTTATAGAAGATTTTATAGAAGAAGATTTTATAGAAGAAGAAGATTTTATAGAAGAAGATTTTATAGAAGAAGAACATTTTATAGAAGATGTTCTTATAAAAGAACATCTTCTATAAAATGTTTCTGATTAAAAACAATTTGTTTGGTTCCTGAAAATGGCATTTATTTATTTATTTAATATGGTGTCAAGTATGGATGTATTCTCTGTTGAAAAATATGATATCATAATATGAAAATTTAAGATATGTATTCAATTGGTGTCTACTTGACCAATGAAATCGTGCCATTTTGTACCACCCAAGTATCGTGATAAACATGACAACAGTAGGCCAAAATAGCCAAACTCTTTATATGTTTTTAATTTTATGTTTGTTATATTATAGTATTTGATTTATATAACTACAAAGGTTATAAGAATTTTTAAAATGTGTTAGATTGATCACTTGGTGTGATAAACCCTTATGTAAGATAGCCTTTGTAGTTATATAAATCAAATACTGTAATATAATATAATAGAAGGATTAGAAGTACAAAATAATCTAATAATCTTAATCTTTGTTGTTATTTTTTGCCCGAGCAATGCCTGGCTCATCTAGTAATATAATATTTAATTATGCTCAATTATTTAAATATTATAAATTAGCATATTATCAATAAAAATACTTCATGTAATGATTTTGATATGTTTTGTGTAATATTTTAATTTAATATAATTAATTACAACTTACTAAATTTAAAGCTTACACTAACCATATAGTCCTTTTCTAAGAGGATTTACAAGTGCTAAATCATTACATGGAGAACCACCAATAACTAAATCAATAGGACATAACATTCCAATCTGTAAAATAAAAACAATTAAAAATAATCTGGCACGTATAAACCAAAACCTTAACTCATTACTTATATTTTACATTTTAATTTTGCACATCATAAAGTTTCATTTAAAATATTATTTATAACAACATACCATACATTTCAAAGATGATATTATATGTTTTCACGCTAAAAGTATTTTTTTAAAATGGAATAAAAATTCCAGGGCTGTGGAATCAGAGTCGTCAAAGAATCCACCGACTCCGACTCCTTTTTACTTCCCAACATGTTATGTATATAAAACAGAAAAGTATTGGAATCGTGTCAAATTTGACCTGCCAGGTTTTTTTTTTTTTTTTTTTTTATTTATCATTTCCAAATTATTTTGGAGTGTTTTTATTTACCAGTCTTGTTATTAGCGANATTAAAGGTCGACAGGGTGAAGACATAAAAGTGGTCATGTGTCATATCTCTTAATGAATATTTTACTCGTTATTAGCGTTCAAAATTGAAAAAAAAATAAAATAAAACTCAGTCTCTACCCTCAAAGAAAGCTTTTTTGCCGTTTTATAATAGTACAGTAAAACCCGTTAAGATGTTCTTGCCTAAGATGTTAGAATGTATAGGGGAACATGATTTAGTTCAACCACTTTGACACTAAATAACTCTCCTGTGTCCTCATCTGACTCTGATTCTGACCACTCTGACCACAGAAATTATTAGACTTCAAACAGGGTAAACAAAATTATGCCCCTCACACACAGTCTAACATCCACACATATAGAAAAAAAACCTCAAATCTTTTGCATATCTTGAAATTTCAAGGTATCCCGAGTCCAAAAATGTAAAAATTTGGAAAGAGTCATTTTTTGACTGAGCACTACACTTTCCTTCTGTATAACAGTCGGAAAAGTAAAAATTATCAAATACATATTTATATATTACTTAAAGGAATCTTTTAGCGTTGGAATAAAACGTTTCTACGTTCTATCTTTATTAGAACTCTATTTATTGAATCTTTTATTTTGAGGTACCGTGATGACATCAGAATTTCCAGGTCTCTTTCGGTAACAAGTCCTCCCTTGGTCGGAGTCAGAGTTGAATGGTAGGAAAAGTCGGAGTCGGAGTCGGTAGATTTTTACGCGACTCCACAGCCCTGAAAAATTCACAAATAACATGACAGATAATTTTCAGACAAATAAAATATGTATTCAGGGGTGGATCCAGGAATTTCATTTAGGGAGTCACTTTGTGTAAATATCCATATCCTTTGCACTGTAGTTATACTAGTGGGAAAACTTTTTTTCTACTTAGAATTTTAGGATTTTAGGGTGTGTACATACCCTTCAAACCCTGGTTTTTAATAATAATAAAAACATAAATACAAGTAGTTTTGCTTTTATGCTAAAAGTTTCAGATAAAAATAATATAAATTTGAACAGTATTTAAAAGTATTAATAAAAATTAAAAAGAAAGCATAATTAATAACAGATCAATTTTAAAACATTACATCAATATGCAATAACTTCATCTATTCTTAAGTAGATAAATTTGCAAAATTTGTTGATTTCCAACATTTTCTGGAGATTAATAAATACTGCTTCTCACATAATGTTATTGTGAGAATCCAGTCTTCAACATAAACAGTTTAACATTGTAACATTAACTTTGTCAAGTATCTATCAACTTTGACACCTGGGAGTATATCCTCTTTTAAGTTCCCAGCATCGATAAAGATGCTTTAACACAACCTTCTGACCTGCTATCCCAATTTCATCATTTTAATATAATACCAAATAGGCAGTCAAATGGTTGTCACCAGTTCCTCAACTTGTTTTCCCTGTACCTCAAATTTTGGATACATTGTTTTATATGTTTGAATATATTGTTCTATTATATCATCGGATACACCATTTTAATATCTCTACAGGTACATCATCCTTCTCACCTATGGCCATATTATCTATTGTACACCTGGAATAAGAACTGTCATCTAGAACTTTCCTTCTTTCAACCCAACCAGCAGGCATCGAATCTCCATCCTCTACAAAATATTTATCCTCGTGCGAATCTCACGCAAACTCTCTCTCTTGACCACTAGATAGATAGACTAAGTCAATATAACCCAATATATATATTGTATACTAGCTGTTACCCGCGACTTCGCCTGCACGGATTTTGCAAGCGAACATCATTTATATTCAGAATTTCAACAACCATAGTAATTGTTATATAACACCTACCATTGAGAATCAAATGAACTATTTTCAATTTGATCAATTTTCTGGAATGTTTACAATCGTTCTATAATCAAACCAATATGCAATAACAAATTCGAATTTAAAATGGTTTGAACATTTGGTTAAAAAATCGAAATATATAAAAATATTTATAACAATGTCTGAAATGTTATCAATTTAATACACCTAAGTACTCAATGAAGACTAAATGCAGTTAAAAACAAAAAATCGCATCTAAAATAAGTAGAAAAAGCCATTCTTCCGATTAAGCCTTGATGCTCTCCCTCTCCCCCACGGGGGAATTTCAAAAAATCCCTTCTTAGTGTGCATTTCCATGACGTACCTAACTGTGTACCAAATTTCACCTTTTTAGGTTCAGCAGTTTGTCCTGGGCGATGATGAATCAATCAGTCACCTAGTCAGTCAATCAGTCAGGACAAGTAATTTTATATATTTAGATTGTATCATGTGCTCCTTTTAGTTGAAATTAAACAGTTATTTAGTTGTTAACTTTAGTGTCTGAGTACTTTACTTCCATCAGGCTGTCTTTCCATCTCCATCCAGAACCTGATCACTCGTGCACGCAGCTGTTCGTGTGACCTATTTTTTAACCTAAACTTGATCACCGCTGCAGCTCTCATGCCAACCAAGACACAGTGCTGTCAACCCTGACAAGACATCAAAGAGGTGCCAACCCTCTGGTCACATAATAAATTGTGTAAACAAAGCAAAAATTATCAGATGTATAAGAGAAAAGCTTATATATTGATATATAATAATTTAATTTTGTTTTGTAATCATCTTTGTGCAAATTTTTATTTGTTTATTAATAAGGTAATAAAAATTGCTTTTATCTCAGAGACATTCTTTTATGCACACACCATAGAATGGCTGATTGCACATGATCCAGCATTGTGTTGTCCACGAAAGTAAATATAGCTACAACCAACAGACTGCCGAAAATCTATCGGGCTAGTTTTATGCTAATTATTAAATAAATTATGTAATCAATTTGGTACTAGAGGTAAGCGTTAGGCGCCATCTCTTATTAATATTAATAATTATAAATAAATT